TGCTTTAAAAATGGTTACTTTTGCATTATGCAAAAAGGAGGTTTTTAAACAAAAATGGTTCTGCTGTCTTTTAAACAAAAAAGAAAGGAAAGAAAAACACAAAAGCTTCTCATTTTGTGGATGGGGACATTGAGGCCCTGAGAGAGACCAGGACCAGCCTAAGAGTGCATGTGCAATCTGTGCCACTCTGTGGCCTCCGTCAGATCACTCTCCCAACTTTTAGTCCAAGGCTTTGGATGTGACATCTGGCTCTCGGCCATGAGTGAAAAGGTTGACAAAAAAGTACAGACCATCCACTGTCGCATGGGCTGAGTGGACTCTGTTCTATAAACTGAAGGCGTCATGTTGGCTAGTATGTGGCATATCCATTCTGTCATTCATTCAAGAAACACGTCCCAAAGTTATGGGCCAGACATTGTGCTGGGAGCTGGCAGAGAGACCCTCTAACAGCCCCACCCCTGACCTCTCACCAGGCTGCTGGGGGCAGAGGCTATGTCAGGGTCCCCTCACCCCTCTTGACTTGTAGCACAGGAGCATCTTTGGGGATTCACTCTTTGGGGAATTAGGAGAGCTTCCAAGAGTGAGGGGTGTCAGAGCCTACCTGGAGGGAGGCATGAGGTTTGCCAGAGGCCCAAGAGGGCTAGGGTGAACTGGCAAGTGGACCCTAGGAGGCAAGGAGGTGGGTGGGGCTGGGGTCCTGGGCTATAGTGTAAACTTGATCCTGTTTCCTTGGCCTTGGCTCCCTTTGTTAAACCATCTGTGCCAGCACTTGCTGTGTGTTGTGCTAGTCTAACCTGTTTATGTGGGTGAATCTACTTCATCTTGTAGGGATTCTGGGCTGTGTGTACCATGAGGCCTGTTTAACAGATGAGGAAGCAGAGACTGGAGAGTCCAGGATACATGGAGCCTTATCACCATTGGCATGTCTGCTGTGAGAATACCCTCGGTGTGGGGGGCTCTGGGGGCTGCCCTCAAGAGCTCATGCTATGGTTGTAAGCTGGTGGCTAGGCCTGGGCCTGGGCAAGGACCTCCCAGGCAGCTGGAAGGAAGAGTGTGCCCTGTGGTTCTGCGCTAGAGCCATGGAACATTCACCCTGTCATCATGTGTTTGTCATCCACCTCCCAGACTGAATGTAAGCTCCAAGAGGGTAAGGCTTGGTCTGTGGCCACAACTGTATCCTTCATGGCCAGCACCATGCCTGGCACGTGGTAGGAACTCAGTTAATACTTAATGAATGGAAAGTTCTAAGTGGGCAAATGGTAGGATCCTTGCAGAATGTTTACATGGAGTTAATGAATCTGTTGGCAAGCTGTGCTGGCTGCAGGGGCCCCTCCTCACTCCCTTAGTGGGCAGTAGGGCTGAGTTGTGCCCAGCTGACCCTTCCCTGGGGAAAAGCGGTTTCTCACGGAAAGGGCTTATCCAGCTAGGAGTGTTCTGTAAGCCTAGAGGGACTGTGCCCCCCCAGAGTTACAGAGTCTCCTTCCTGTGCCCCTTCTCTGCAGAAGTGGCTCCTAAATTTCTGTGTAGGAGGGTCTTGGGTTGAACTGAGTGGGTGCTGTCTCTTGAAGATGCATTTTCTATCAGACAATCCTATTTTGTTTAGAGGGCATATCTTTTAGGGATTACTTTAGGAAGGGGCTAAACCGGCCACCTCTGAGCACAGATATTGCTATTTAGCAAATGAGCAGGGCCCCAGATTCCATCCTAGCCCAGAATATGGGGAATCCAGCATTGAAAGAGGAAAGACTCCTTAGCATGTGTGGCCTTGGTAGCCCACCAGGGTGGGTGCTCAGCTCATAGGATCGATGGTGACTGCATAGCAGATGGGGAGCGAGAGACAGCAAGCCCACCCCATGAGTTTGGCTGGATCCAGCTACTCCAGGACCTCAGGTGTGGGCACGGGGTGTTAGACTGAGTCAGCATGTGTTCCATTTCCTTTGTTTGTCTCCTCTCAGAATTTTGGTGGCCTTTGTGTTTGTTTTCAATGCCAGCTTCCTCAGCTATCCCAAGAGGAAATGGGGACTGAATTTTTTTCTGTGCAGAGGCTGGGACAGTATGAGAGCAGTCTGCCCTGGGAACCAGCCTAGTGGTGACAGCATGGCATTCGGGAAATACTGTGTGGTTTTCTTTAGAGGTGGGGGAGGCACCACGGTGCCAGGCTGCCCTAAGGCTGGGCCCTGGAAAATGAAAAACACTTGGCCCTGGGTATATCGGTGCCATTCAGCCAGGCTAGCACCACAGCCCTGTGCTGGCCCCCAGGGAAACACAGGAATCAGATGAGGTCCTTGCTCCATCTTTGTGGGGAAACACGCGAAGAAAATACTGACACTCCAGGCTACCGCCTTTCACCTGCACATACTTTTCCAGTGTCCCACGTGGATTACCAGTACTTGAGGCATATCATGACCCTTCCTTTCAAACTCCTCAAAGGGCAGTAGTCTATGTAAGTATTCCAGAGCTATCTGGGGACAGGGCCAACAGTTTGGAAGATGCTGTATGGTTTGTGAATAGTCCCTGGGTGCGCCAATGGCTTATGGAGCGGCATCTTTGAAATTGCACAATCTTGACAATTTTGGGACATATGGTGCCCGTGATGTGCTAATATTAGCAATTGAGATATTTAATTACCCAGAAAAACCCTCTTTCCTACCCACTACAGGTTACTGGAGAGCTTTTATTTCTCAAGAGGAAGGTCTTACAAAGTATAATTCAGACCAGCAGATAGTCATTATCCCTCATTAATTTATTAGCTAATTAAGTAGTTTATCTGGTCACACATTTATTCCTTCAGTTGCAATATGCACTGGGTCCCACTCTGTCCCTGGCCTGGTGTTGGGCACTGGAGATATAATGAAACAGAACACATTTTACTGGGCACCTGCATGTATCAGCCCACTGAGTAATGCTATAGAGTACAGGGGTGTGTGCATTCCCCAGTGGACCTTTACTAAATACCTACTATGCACAGACTCATGGTGATGAGAAATGAAAATGACATGGGCTTTCATAGTTTGAACTTCTGTGATTTTTTTTTTTTTTTTTTTTTTGAGACAGTATCACTCTGTCACTGAGTAGAGTGCCAGGGCAGCACAGCAACCTCTGATTGCTCAAGCAGTCCTCTTGCCTCAGCCTCCTAGGCAGCTGGGACTACAGGTGGCACAATGCCTGACTAGTTTTTTCTATTTTTAATAGAGATGGGGTCTTGCTCTTGTTCAAGCTGGTCTCAAACTTCTGAGCTCAAGCAGTCCACCTGCCCTGCCTCCCACAGTGCTAGGATTATAGGTGTGAGCCACCGTACCGCACCTCCTGTGATGTTTTGATGGAGCTTTGGTCCTGACCCTGTGCTAGCTGTGATAAACACAGTCAGCTCCCCTTCACAGGGCATATGATAACATCCCCAGAGTGAACCAGAAATAATCCAGATGCCCCAGGAACTGACGTGAGAACAAGGCATCCCCTTCACACGTTGTATCTCAGTTCAGCGTCTTGCCGCCACCCAGCATTTTGAGACAGAATGTGAGATCTCGTGGTTGGCTAAATACATAAATATTTTATGTCTCGATATTCTGAAAACGCAGCCCAAATGCACAGAACTGCAGCACATCAGTGCTATAGATCATATGTTATAATAATCTGATGACATGTTGTTTAAATATTTATGGACTGATGCGACATGACAATGGGGGAGAGAGGCGTCTCTGAGCAGAGTCGTGGCAGATGCTGGAAAGGAGGGAGCAGATTCTCGCGATCCTGGGAGGTGTCGGGCCATGCTTGGGTTTCTGATGTGATGTTTTGGGGTTTTATGACAAAAACCATGGCTGACATTTATTGACCACTTGCTGTGTGCCATACCCTTCACTGACATCATCTCATTGAATCATCATGGCACCCCTGAGAGGCTGGGGCTCTTATTAACTCCAAGTGACAGATGGGAAACCAAGGCTGAAGGCAAGTCGGTAATCCTCCCCACACCCCACAGCTAGTGAGTGACGACCTGGGATCAAACCCAGTTTGACCTGACTCTTTAATCTAGTTCTTAATCACTGTGCTATTCTGTTCTGTTGGTGACATATTTAAAAAGCCCCCCATCCCCCTCTGGGTGACCCCTTGGTATTAACTGGACTTTCTAGATAACAGGAAAGGAGGGTGCTACCTATACACATCATCGGGTGGGAACAAAAGGCATCAGGGATGAAGACTACCCAGAAGGGCAGTGTGCAGGGTGGACGAGCCCCTGTGGCCTGGTCCTTGCCACATGGTAAGTGCTCAGGAAACATCATCTCATGCTCAGTCCTTAAGGGAATTCCCTGCAAACTGTTCCCTGAGCCTTAGCCTTGGCCACCCCCTGTCCCTGCAGTGCCCTGGGCAGTATCAAGTGATAGCCCATTCAGTCTCCATCAGCCTGGTAAGTTAAGCCAGCGTGTCCTTGCTGTACAGATGAGTCTCCCAGAGCCAACTCCAGCATCCCTGCCTTGGGGGAGCTACCCTGAATGTCCCAGCTGGAGTGGCTGTCCTTTCATGCCTTCCCTGATGCCAGCTGTCAGATGTGCCACCGAGTACTCTGTCCCCCAAGTCTGCTACCATCAGTCCTACCAGCTCCAGGGTAGAGGCCTTGAAAAGTTGGTGGGCACATCTCTAGGACCCAGAATGAGTCTGGCACATGAGACAGCAATAACCAGCCAGCCATAGTTCAATGAACGAGACCCACAGGCAGGTTGGCGGCCAACATTCTGAGAAGCCTCTCAGGCAGTGACAGCTAGTGAGGGACCCAGTCTCAGAACCAGTGGCATCTTTCAGTTCTGCAGAGGCCTAGGGGAGTCCCCAGGTCACCAGAGCAAGAGGGGCATGTCAAAGAGTCGTGGAAATGGAAGGCAGGGCCAGCCAGATATGTAACTTGTGAGGCCTAATGCAAAATGAAAATGCAGATCCCCTTGTTCAAAAGCAGGAAAAAACAGGAAGAAAGTGTTTTTCTTTCCTTTACAGTCTCTCCATCTGTCATGTTTTTTATTTATTATTAAATGTCATGCTTTCTTGGCACAGGGACACTCTCAGGGCAAGTGCAGACCCTCATAGGTGCCAGGGGCCCTGTCCTGGGACTCCATATGCAGGTGTGCCTGACCCTGCCTCTCCCCAGGCTTGTACCAGGCATCCTGCAGGTAGCAAGTGGCAAAGGTTGCTGGATGGGGAGAGGGCAGCTGAATACCTGATCTGGAAGGCAGGACCACATGCAAGCTAAGGCTCCAAGCCACCGGCACATGCTCCATTGTTCCGCCAGACTTCACTCAAACAACACAGATGCAAAGGTAACATTAAGAATTTTAAGACAGTGAACACAGAACATGAAACCCCTCACCTGGGGTTTCTGAGGGCAGGGAGGGGTGCTCGGACATAAGCTGGCTCTGATGAGAGGGGTGTGCAGACCACCAGCCCTGGTGCAGGCCACCAGCCCTGGAGCTGACCACGGTCACTCAGGCTGCTGGTGGGTCTCCCTTCTTGTCCTGGGCCTCTGGTACTGAGGACACACTATGCCCATGGCCCTCCCTGATTTGATCCCTCACAGCATTGCTGGATATTATTGCATTAACAAAGCCATCCCTCTGATTTCCTGTCCTTGAGTGACAAGGGTCAGAAATCAAATGACCTGCTCACTTGGGAACAACGCCAAGCAGGTGGTACCCTGGCAAGGGCAGGGAGCTCAGATTCCACCAGCCACCCACGCTGTTCCCAGCCCTGAAATTGGGTGCCCCTCAGCCACAGGGAGTGGACATCTGGCTGCTCTCAACTTACAAACAGAGTAAGGCTCAGGTCTAGAGTGCTTTCTTCACACCTGCCGTACACCAGAGCTCCAGCCAAGTGCTTTGTAAGTGCTTCATTAATCCTCTTGACAGCTTTGCACTGACCCTGTTTTTCATATGAGGATAACTGAGGCTCTGAGAAAGCCATAAGCCACACAGTTTAGATGCTGAGATTTGAACCCAGGCTTAGCTGACTCCAAAGCCAGTGTTCTTTGCACAATCCCAGGCATACTGGGTGGCTGGGGCCCTTGTCCCCACTCTCTGCTGTGTATGTGAGAGGACGAGACCTCAGCACTACTGCCCATTGGCTCCTTCCTCTGGACATTCACCCTTGTCCTCCTCAGGGAGTGGATGTCTGGGTCATACGAATTTCTCTCCTGCAAGACCCAGCCAGCCCTGTGGCCATTTTATGCCTAGAAAGGCCAGTGGCTGGTGGCTGGGTCAGGCAAACCTGGATTTGAGTGGCACCTCTAACTGCATGCTGCTCTCTGTGCTGTCTGGGCTTGTCACCCCATTCTCATTTGTGAAGCTGAGAGCATCAGCAGCTCTTGTCTCTGGGGTGAGCTGCACAGATCTCGGTTTCACACCAGGCCCAGAACAGGCAGTCGGCAGTCAGTGACTGCCTCGGTGAGAAATGACACAGTGTGGGTGAGGACTTGGCTTAGTGGCTGGCCTCCTGTGATGCTCAGGAGCACCTCCCCATTCTGGGTCACACTAAAGGTCACTCAGCCTAGAGCTGCCCTCCCCAGGAACGTCTCTCTTCCTTTTTTTGTCTAGTCATTCATCACCCAGCAGAGTCAGGTGCTATGCTGAGACACAGGTTCCTGCCCTCACTCACTGGTATTCTGGTTCATAAACAAGAAACAAGTTCACAGTTCCTGGCCAGGGAACATTGAGGAGAGAAAACTGGGAAACCTTCGTCTGTTTGGGGAGCTTGAATGGTGCGATGTGCCACGGCTACCCCATGGATTGGCACTCCCTCCATCCCTTTCTTCCCTTGAAGGGAAGTCCCTGAGGATTTAGTACCCTGCCTTTTGTGTAAGGTCTCAGCTCTCCCAGGGGCCCCAAGAAGGCCTTCTTGGACCTTTTTTTGCCTCAAGGTGTCTTTGAGAAATTGGTTTCCCAGCTGGAATGTGGGAGCTTTCTCAGGCTCTCTCAAGATTCAGAGCTGGCCAGGCCCTGGCCATGCCTTCCCAAACTGTTGGTAACCTTGTGGGGCAAGTCCTTAGCTCTGTTTTACAGACAGAAAAGGGAGGCTGAACAAGGCTGACTCGTTTGCTCAAGAGCACACAGTGTGATTGCACTTGAGCCAGGATTTGAATCCAGGCCCTTGGCCCCCAGAGCACAGTCTTAAAACCACTCGGCTCTAGTGTGAATAGATGTTTTTGTAATTCCAGGCAGCAAAAAAGCCACAGGTTCTACTCAAAGCAGCAGATTCTTGGTGAATACCGCTGTGTATCTAGGCCGTGCTGGGTGCTGCAGGAAGGTTCTGTGGAGAAGAATAAAGACAAGTGATGGTTTCCACATGAGTTGGGATTGCATTTACACCTGGCTTCAGGGTTGTGAGGTGGGTGGTATGGGCATCACGTTAGGGATGAGGAAGCTGAGGCCCAGAGAGGCTCCCTGGCTCTCCAAGGTCATACAGCCCCAAGTGGCCTGACCCCATGTCACTTCCTGTGTCTGCCATCAACCCTTCTGTCTCTGGACCAGCTTTAGCTTCTACCCTAATTCTGCATTTGGACAAATTGAGGCCTAAAGAATGTTTTAGCAGCTTGATACTGAACTGGGGAAAGGGTTGACCCCATTCCACAGCGAAATTGCTTTCCAAATGCCACTGATTCTCAGGGCAGGAGAAGACCAAAGAAATGACAGTGTGTGATTACGACATGTGTGTCTGTGAACGGGAGGGGCCCTGTCCACCCCTCCTGGGTGTGCCAGCCGGGGTGATAGGGTTTTATGGCATCTGGAACAGACAAGCCTTTTTAAAGGAAACTGTTCCAAAGCTGTCCCATTCCACCGTTGGCAAGCAATACTTAAACGGCAGAGAAACAGCCATGCTCCGTATTCACAAAATGGTGAGCTGGCATTTAGGCCCATTTATTTAAAGTGGGAGTTGAGGAGGCTAAAGACTTCAGCTCTGAATGGTGGCTCGCCGCTCGCTGCAGCAGGGGAGTGTAATCTTTAGGGCTTTCTTCCCATTTACAGGGTTTTTGTTGTTGTATATTTGTAAAATGAGGCTTCTGCTGGCAAAAGCAGGTTTTAGCGAGTGCAGCGGCTCTTTCAAGACCTAATAAGGCCCCAAAGGAGTGTGAGTTCTAGCAACACTTTCCTCCCCCCTCAGGCCCCCCCTACTCTGTCTTGCCTCATACACTTTGGGCATAGGGTACCATTCATCTTGCCTCCCATTAATGGAATTACCACCATCACTTCTGCAAGATGAGATGGGCCCTTTGGAACTGCCTTGGGAACAGAGGCAGGATTGGCCGCCACGCAGTTTTGCTTAGAGGGGAGGGGAAAGAAAAAAATGACACAGAGGAAACTCTTAGAAATGGATGCTTCCTTGGGTGTAAGAGGAAAAGGGCTGTGGGACCTGTTCATATCCCTCTGAGCCTTATCATGACAGGGCATGTGATGGCTCCCCAGTGATAGATGTGAGCAAGGCTTGTCACCTGTGCACGAAAGGCCTTTGAGTTCAGAGGGTAGGAAGGCAGGGACCCAGCATTTATGGGGTACTCACATATGCCTGCCACTGTTCTGACTACTTGGGGAGTGGGTCTCTTTGGCCTCATTTTTAGATGAAACAGCAAAAGCCCAGGGAGTCCAGAATTTGTTGTGAGTCACATAGCTCATAGGCAGTAGCTTTAGGGTTTGAACCTTCATCTATCCATTTTCCTGGAGAACCAGCAGCGTCCATCCCTGAGGCTCCAGGAAGTAGCAGAGTTAAGGACTTGCAGTCCAGCTGCCTGTCATCAACCTGCCGTGTCTGAGCTCTGATTCTGAGTGAAAGTGAGTTGACTGCCCCGGATCTTAGGACCAGGGTGACATCCAGTGGAATTTCATGGGCCTACGACCCTGAGAAGGAAGGAGGGAAGTAGGGAGCTGACTTTCTTGACTCATTCTGCCTTCTGTCTCGCATGCCCATTTACAGCATGACTGGCACTAATGGTCATCTCCAGGGCCAGCACTGTGATCAGTTGGTAGGGGCTACCTGGGATATCATGTTAAGAAAGCCTTGGAGACTGTGGGATTGATTAGTAATGTCTGCTGGATGTACAGAATGAGAAGCTGGGCATGAAAAGGGCCAGAACTGGGCAGCACCTGTGGCTCAAAGCGGTAGGGCGCCGGCCCCATATGCTGGAGGTGACAGGTTCAAACCTAGCCCTGGACAAAAACTACAAAAAAAAAAAAAAAGAGGGGAGGCCAGAACTAAGTACAATTCTCAACCTGAGTGCAGACCCCAGGAGCACCTGTCCTACCTTGTACTTGTTAATTGTGTGCCTCCTCATATTGTAAACTCTAGGAACGCTGGACCACATTCCCACATAGATACCAGAAGGGAGGATTGATGAAGGCTCCATGGCCACCAAAAGAGCCATCAGTTGGAATTCTTTTACAGTGAATTTTTTAAAAAATGTTTTTTGACTTCTGGGGATGCTATCTAAGTGTCTACATATGTAAACGAGGGCCTTCCCCTTCACGCCACTGATTTGCTGAGTGTCTTCAAGTAAATAACTTCACCTGTCTGAGCTTCAGTTTCCTCATCTTTCAGAAGAAGGTCATTCTTCTCATAGGACTGTGATGAGGGGTAACTGAATTCACGATGGTAATGGACCCCAGAACCCACAGGTAACAGGGTTGGCATTCATACCTATCAGCTCCAGCCACCTCCCCTCAACCTGCTGAGGCCACCTGTCATCTGTTGGGCTGAGCTGCAGGCTGTCTGGGCCTTTAATGCTTTTTGTCTCACTTTTCAAACATTGCCACCTCTGAGGAATCTCCTCTGACCTCAGGACACTGCTTAAGGCCCCGTGCTTGGAGCCCCTTCTGAGCAGGGGTCCTGAAGCAAGACTTTTCCTTATGGAAGAATTTCCCCTTTTCCCCACCTTCTTCTCTGACACAGCCTCCCAACCCCGTGAGGCCTGCTGACAGGTCAGCTCCCTGGACCAGGAGCTTCTCCAGGGCTGGAATAGGCCCACTTTCCTCTGTGGTCCCAATGTCCTTCCCAGGGCTCTGCCTAGTGAAGGCCTTGGTGACAGGAATGAGAGGGTAGCAGCAACTCTTCCCCCATTTGTTCATCAGGTCTTGTGTCCCCAGGGACAGCTGAGATGCAGAGACTTAGATGCCATGTCCAAAGCCTAGGTCTCTTTTGGGGGCAAATAGGTAAGCTGGACAGATGGCAACTGCCCTGTGTGGCAGAAATATTGTGACTCACATGCCCGTCATGCTTGTTACAGGTGGTTATTTCTTGTTACAGGTGAAACACTACAGACAGTTGTGTTTGATCTGTGCAATGTGGGTGTTTGGAAGGGTTCTGGGCAGGGTGTGTCCAGCAGAGGCTGGAGTATGGGGAGGGGGTGACTTAGGCAGGGCCCAGAGTCTGCTGTTGGCAGTTAGGGTTCATCTTCTGAGTCAGAGAGCAAAGAAATCAGGGCTGAAGTTTACAAAGAATGTTCTCCTGTGGCTTAAACTCCCCTCGGGTCAGGATGGTTTCCTGGTGGGTGTCTGGGGTGCAGGTGGGATAGGGCCCCAGTCTCAAATGTCCTCATCACTGAGTCAGGGAGGGGTACTCCTTGGAGAGTCTTTGGACTCCTTGGTCCTTGGTCCTCAATGCCTGGATTTAGGGTGAGGGTGGGATGAGGCCGAGGCCCACAGAAGCCATAGGGTCAGCCTAGGAATGAGGGGAAAATAAGAAGGCTCATGAGGCGATAATGAGTCCCTACGAAAAGGCTGTTGTGTCTAAGTGACTTAGTGTGAGCAGTGGCCGTCTGCAAGTCGCTGGAGTGTTCAGAGAGGGAAGTTTTGCCTGAGCCTGGCCCTCTGCCAGCGCCTCCTCACAGATGCCAGTCCTCCCCATAGTGTATTGTTATTAATATACTAGAAATATTCGCCATCTTTTAAAAGCAGTTCTTCCCCTTGCTGCAGTTACCACTTTTTCATCAGAGCACCCATCGGGAGTTCACATGCACTGTCATCAGCTAGTCCTCATCTGTAAACAGCTCCATTTTATAAATGAACTCATGGCTCAGAGAGAGAAAGCACTTTACCCAAGTTGCACAGGGAGGACTTGAGCCCAGATCTGTCTCCACTGGAAGCACCTGAGCTGATCCTGACAAGGATAGATAGGAGTGAGCCAGGTAGAGAGGGCCCCACCTGACACTGCAAGCAGAGGCCTGGAAGTGGGGAACAGCCATGGCAGAACACTAAGGGACTCTGCGAAGCCGACATGGTGGAGCACAGTTGTTACCTGGGATTGGGGTCAGACAGGTAAGGAGGTCTTAGGTGCTAAGCCCAGGAAGGCCTATCTCAAGTCCCTGAAGGTTGACAAGGGAGGAAGCTATGGTGAGCTAGAGGTTTTAGGAATGTGTTTCTGGGGGCAGGTGTGGAAAATGGTGGTGTTAAGGCTGGAGAGACGGGGAGGCTACAAGGAGGCCCTGGCCTTGATGCTGCTGCTGTGGACTCTCCCAGAGCCTAGCCTCTCAGTTCTCTGAGGCCCCAGTTCCACCCAGAAAGAATCTTTGGCTCTCCCCGACCCCCACCCTTCCCAGCTGGGTGTTGAGGCTGGAGGCTCCTCACCTCGACACCCTCAGCCTCTCTCACCGTGTTCTTGTGAAAAACCAGGCTGCCGCCTACCAGCTTGCTGGGGACGATGTGAGGATAAATGATAAAACATGTGAAGCTCGCAGCGCTGCTTCAGGAAGGGAAAAAAAGTGCCATAGATGTGTTATTTTCCCTAAATCTGGATTTCTGCATGTCATTTTTGTCTTCCCCGTCAGAGGAGCTGTTTTGGTTCCCAGGGATGAGTTAATGGGGGTGTATCAGCCAGGGCTGGGGCCCATTCACATCAGCTGCCACAGAATACGTTTGTTTCCCCGGATTTCCAGACTGCCTCGTTAATCTGCAAGAGCCCTGGTTCTAATGTGCCTCCTGGGGAGTGATTGTGTTGTCACTGAGATTGAATTCCAATTCTCTCTTATCGATTTATTTTTTGGTTTGGAGAAGTCAGAGGTGAAGCTGTGAGAACAAGCAGCTTTGAGTTTTAATACAGTCATGTGACACATAAATGACATTTTGGTCAACGATGATTCAAATAGGTGATATGGGTCCCATAGATTATAATATTGTATTTTTACTGTTCCATAGGTTTGGATACACAAATACTTACCAGTGTGTTACAAGGGCTCTTATTACAGTATTTGGGCCAGTAATGTGCTAAACAGGTCTGTAGCCCGGGAGCTGTGTGTGTGAGGAGGCTGTACCCCCCTGGTTTGTGTAAGTGCACTCTGATGTGACACTGACATCGCCTAAGGACACATTTCTCAGAATGTATCCTGGCTGTTAAGTGGCGCATGACTGGATGACTCTGTGGCATGTTGCGTGCCCCCAGGTGACCAGGAATGTCCCCTGCTGTGAGGGGAGCTGATAGGGTCATATTTGGTGTGGGGCAGTGTGGTGGGGTAGGCAGTGCCTTGAGGCTAAGCTGGCTATTCCCAGGTTCTGTGCAGGTGTCTTTTTCTACAGAGGTTATATTGTTCAGGAAGGTAAGTCCTAGTCCCTGCTTACTCCCTCCCAGAGCCAGGTAACATTAGGGTGATTCTGGAGGGGACTGAGTTCTGCCCACCAACAAGGGCCTCAGCCATGCCCCTGTGCCCTCACCCCTCACCTAGACATAGCACCCACTTGAGATGCAGTCAGAATATTTTAGGTTAAATGAGTAAATTGGGGTGAACTGGCTGGGGTCTTATAACCCAACCCATTTCACAGCTGGGGAGACTGAGGTTCAGAGAGGCTGAAGGTCTTGGCTAAAACACCCAGCAGAGGAGCCTCCTGGCTGGTCTTCATGCCACATCTGATTCCCTCCTCCCCTGGAAGTTCCCCTCATGTCCCGTGCCCTCACCCCACAGTGCAGGAGAGGGACCCAGCACTATTAGGCCTCCTGGGTACTTCACCCACAATCTCATTGTAGATAGGTCTTCTTCCAGTCTTTTGGATTACGTAAGCGGGGCTCAGAGAGGTGATGAAAACTTGGGCAGGGTTTCCCAGCAAATAGGTGGAGGGTCCCAGATTTAAATTCTGGCCTGGCTCCAGAGAGGACATCTGCCTGTGGGAATAGTTCTGCTGGGTGGGAGAATGGTGGCTTTGACTGCTTTTGGGGGGCTAGCCTGGGGCATGTGATCAGTGACATCGCTTTCCTGACAAATAGCAGGGAGCAGCTAGGGTAAGGCAGGGCAGGGAGCTCCCTGGAAAACCTGGGGCTAAATCAGGCCCTAAGCCAACTCAGTCTCCATATATTTGGAAATAAGATTCTCTTACCCTGTACCTACTGATTTTACCTGGTGTAACCTTGTAACCTTGGTGTAAGGCTGACCAGAAGCCTTTCACTATCTAACTACAGTGCCTCTCCTGTACGCCGGGAGACAGCAGCACCCCTTCAGCCACTGGGTGCTGATTATGTGCTAAGCAGCTTCCTGCACGATCTGATCGAATTGCCCAACTCTGTGAAGGTGGGTCCCTTATTTGTGCTACCTGATCCACTCCTGGACTGCATTTCCATCATAGCACTTACTGGCGCCTCAAATGACTGTGTCTGTTTGCTCTTATGTCTCTGTCTACTGTCTACCTTCTCCTGGCTGCTTGAAATCTCTGGGAGGTCAGGGCCTTCTCTGTCTTGTCCACTCCTGTGTACCTGGCCCTTCGGACAGTGCCGGCCTCCATGAGCCTCTCAAGAAATGCTTGATAAATGATGGCGGAGTGAATTAACCCTCGTTTTCTCAAAAAGGACATTGAGGCCCACAGAGGAGAGGTTTGTCCATTGATCATATGCTAGGTCAGGGTTCAGTCCCTGCCTATCTAGAGTCAGCAGGGGCTTCTCTCACAGACTAGCTTTGAGCCTGGGATCCCAGGTGTGCTTGTCTGCATCCCTGGAGATTCACACGGCCCAAACAAAGTTCCAGCTCGTACTTGTGGCTTTGGAACAGCTCAGAAAAAGTGTGTCCTGTGACTGCTCAAGGAATCTGGGCATTTAGCCCAGAAAAGAGTGTGTTTCCTGGCTTCATGAGAACTGGGGCCCACCCTGCCCCCAGCCTGGGCGTGCAGAATGGGAGGGAGGGGAGATGGAATCCAGCCCTGGAAGGCGACAGCGTCAGGCTTTATCATCAGAGTGAGGCTTAGGCCCACGCTGAGACTGTCCTGGCCCAAGAACTCGAGAGCATGTTCCCAGGGGCCAGAGCATCCTTGGAGATGTTGAATTGCTGGGAAAGAGATATTCCTTAAACTAACGGCCCTGGGCTGCTCTCCTGGTGCTGGGTACCTGGGGGCAGATGTGGGCTCAGAGTTCCCTGAGCAGGAGTGATGGTCATCAGACCCTCAAGGCCACGTGTTTTGAAAGTTCCTCCCGGTGCAGCAGATACCCACCCTCTCTCCCTTTGTGGCTGGGCACAGGTTTATGAAGTGACCTCAAAGATAGCAGGAGTCATTGGCCCATGGTGCCTGTACATTGTGTGTAGTTTCACAATTTGCTTTTATCACGAGGCAGGTCAGTGCTTCTCACTCCCTCTCCTGCTTTTCATTTTTATTTTATTTTTCCTTTCACCAAGGGACTATCTCATTGACTGGCCTGAGGGGTCCCCATCCTGTGGGGTGTGAGATGGTCCAGTCTTCAGAGAGGGTTAACTGGAATTACCCTCTGGTTCACTAGAACACACTGGCCAAATTTCTGAGACAGAATAAAAAACCCTTTTTTTATACTTATCGGAGAGTAGGGGAGGCCAGCCATACTTCTTCTCAGCTAGGATTGAGAAACGTCACCAACCACAGTGGCTAAAGTTCACTGTTTCCCAAATCCCAGACCCAGGCCAGGCCTGGGGCTGCATGAAGTCCCCGCCAGTCCATGGTGAAACAAGGAAACAAAAGACCTGGCCTGGCATTCACTACTTTCAATGTCAAGTGTCCTTTCTTTTATGAAAGATGGTGATAATTGATGGAAATTTTATTTTACATGCCAGAAAAAGTTGGCAACCACATGGCTATCTTCAAAATGTGGGGGAGACTTTTCTGGCCTATGAAATCTCCAGGGCTGTGCTTCTTCTGCACGCCAGAGGCAAAAGCAAGCCCAAGGGAGACTCCAGTGCCTTGAGAACCATCAAGTCATGGTCACCTGTGACCCCTGGCTCTGCCCAGGTATGGGGGTGGGGTGTATTAGTTTGCTGGGGCTCTCATAACAAATGACCATAGCTGGGGGACTTAAAATAAGAAATTCATTCTCTCCCAGTTCTGATGCCAGATGCCTGAAACCACAATGTGGCCAGTGTTGGTTCCTGTGGGAGCCCAGGAGGGAGAATCTGTCCCATACCTCTTCCTAGCTTCCTAGCTTCTGCTGGAGTCCTTGGAATTCTTTTGTCTTGTAGACACATCACTCCAGCCTCTGCCTCTGTCGCCACATGGTGTTCTTCCTTGTCTGTGTCTGTGTCCCATTTCCTTCTTATAAAGATACTAGTCATTGAATTCGAGCCAACTGCAATCTCCTGTGACCTCCACTTAACTTGATTACATTTGCAAAGACCCTGCTTGCAAAGATCCCATTCCCAGGTTCCAGGTAGACATGAATTTTGTGAGGACACTGTTCAACCCAGTGCAGGGGATGTGAGGGATGAGGAGGACAGGCTGGTGGATCCAGTGGGCCTCCAGATAACATTCAGTCCAGTGGGCCTCCAGGTACCATTCTCATCCAGTGGGCCCCCAGGTAACATTCCTGGGAAGTAAACAGATACACACAGGAGCCAAGTCTCAGGAGGACCAGGGTGGGGCTACAGGGGTAGGTTGTATCACCCCAACTGAATCGGCTCAGGGAAGAACCCGCTCTCCCTGACTCCCTGTCTTCCAGGCACGTCAAAACGCTTTAATACAGACCTGAAAGAAGAGTAGACAAGTAGACTGGTCTTCAGCACCATAGGCTTTTATTGCCACAGACCATCAGCACTGAGTCCTTTGGTGGTGTCAGCCAGCTGTGAGTGCTCAGTAAAACCTGCCAGGCCTGTCCTTGCTCCTTTGGGCTGGTAACGACATGGCAGCAGCAGCTTTCTCCTGCTTCGTGGGTAAAGGACAGCCTGTAGGGTGGGAAGGAGGAAATCTAGTCTTCTCCATTCTCCCAGGGGCCCTTATCTATCTTGCCAAAGACTCTGTGGTCAGACGTTTTAGCCCCAACACTTCCTAACAGAGGAATCTTAAACAAGGGTTCCCAGAGCCTCGCTGAGCCTCGCTTTTCCACTCCTGTGAAGTAGGAGCACCAGTTCCAGCCCTGCCCATCTCAGAGGGACTGGGGACAAGGAGGTGAGTTCGAGGTTGTGACAACCTTTTGTGAGCCCTTCCCATGCTTTGCATGGGGCCTGATGCAGTAGGTGTTTGATAAAAACTCACCGCATAAAAGAGGTTATCTTGGAACCTGGAACCTGAGATGGGGCCTCGACATGGCCTCTGGAGCAGAGGGCTGTCCTTCCCCCATCCTTGTGGACACAGCTGAGATGACTGGGTTAGGGTTGGGAGGCTGAGTGTGCACATGTCGCTCTGGGTGGAGTGAAGATGCTGCCGAGTTCCATCTCAGGCTTGATGATGCGTCTAATGGCCTGTTGGTGAAATTATCCCAGCGTTTGGTACCATGGGAGATGGTGGCATGCATAGCAGCATGGAAGGGGCCTGGGAAGCTGGATTCTGACCCTGACTCTGCACCAACCATGTGCAGGTGGTTGAGGCACCCTGTGGATTCTACTTCCTGAGTGCCCCTCCCCTCTGCAAACCCCTCCCCTCTGCAGACCCACTGCCATTTGGGCCTCTAGTGCGCAGTTCCGAGCTTGCCTGGCCCCCAGGCCTTTGCACATGCTGTGCCCTCTCCCTGTAGTGTCCTGTCCCCGTTCCTCTGCTCAGAGCTGCTTGCTATTCTGAGGTAACACTCCCACACTCCCCAGGTAGGCTGCACGGGCCTTTCCCCATGTTTCACACACTGGTGTGCAGAGCAGCAGACACACTGGTTTGGAGTTTTTGGTTTATAAGGCTGCATTCTCTGAACAAAGAGCCCCACTGAGGTTGGGACAAGGGTAGGTCCTGTGTCCTGTAGGTGTTTGTTGATTAATAATTAATCACTTCTCTGTTCCTTGGTTTCCTCATCTTTAAAATACAGGTGAACTCTTAAGGGTCTTTCCGAGGTGTCTGGTGAGACGTCAGATGAGTGAACTAAGGGTCTTCACTGCTCCCAGAATAGAAGGGAGTGGGGCAGTGATGGCAGGCAAGTTTAATGACTGTTCGATGCTGATGCCAACAGTATGAACAAATCTCAGGGGATGTTCTGGGTGTTCAACACAAAATTCCCAGCCAATGAGTTCTTGTCTACAAAGACAGGACTAAGGCAGCCTCTGTGGAGTTATTCCGACTGTGGTTGGGTTAGCCTGCATGGCCGTTTTGGCGGTACCCTTCCCCACCTGCCCTGGTGGGAATTCTCTAGTCTGTGGAGGGAAGAATAGATATGTCCAGGGACGGAGGATTGATGTGCACGGCCCCACAGAACTTTCTCTGCACTTCTGTGTCAGGTGACACTGCCTCATAGTGACGCAGACATCAGGTTCTGTTGAGATTCTTCTCCACTTTTGTGCTCTGCAGTCTGGCACCAGATTTGAAGCCCCACATCTTCTGTTTCCCAACTGTGTAAATTTACATCTCTCTTAGTCTCAGTTTCCTCATCTGCAAGATGAAGGTAGTAATGCCCACCTCTTGGGGTGAGCCAGTGGACCCAAATGTGTGGCCCTGTCTGTACCATAGAGTGGGAGCATGTAATTTTATGGCTGTTCTTAGCATGAGTATCCTTTACTCCAGAGGGGATAGCAGAGGAGAGACCAGCAGGCTGTTTGTCTATGCCAAAAAATGTCTGTTGTCTGAAGAATTCTGTTTTGGAAGACAAGCCCAGATTTTGGGTCAGAACTGTATTCCCTGGGGAATTGCATGGTTGAACATCCAGTCATATTTTAAAAGCTTGGTGACCACCCAAGCCTTTGAGCTTTCCACGTGGATGCTCCAAGGTCAGGCTTTTCGGGAATCCCTTGCACAGCTGGGCCGCTTGTCACGCCGGTAGCATCATTTCCACAGAGCAGGCTCTGTCTGGCTATGAATAGATGTTTTTTCCTCTCTTTCCTGGATGCCTGAATGGCAGTCTCCCTCCTGCTGTCCCAGAGGCTGACCTGAGTGTAAAACTCCAAAACGGACATCAGAGTGGGGTCGTCCGTTCCTGCTTGGACTTGAGGCTCTCAGCAAGGCTCAAAGAGGTGGGTCGATGGCCGCCGTGACCCGGGGAGCCTCCCGAGGATCTCCTGGGCTCTCGTTTATAAAGGCTACTGAGCGAACTGAAGAAATCCGAGTTCCCAGAAAAGGCAGCAGATCGGAGTGGCAGCTGAGATTGAGGAGGATGGTTCAGGATCTCCAAACACAGGCCTGCTGGCTGATGGCTTTCCCACCACAGATGTGAAGTCTATTAGAACAGGAGGGACACCAGACAGCAGCCAGCACCTGCTGCATCCTGGAGCGCCGTGCCACTGAGTGGTTAGGGGAGTGGGTTCTGGAGCCACATGACCTGGGTTCAAATCTTAGTTCCTCCACCTGTATTGGGCACTGTACCTTTATGCCTCAGTTTCCCCCTTCTGTAAAATGGGGACAACAGTGTACCTGTCTCACAGAGCTGTTATGATGTTTAAGTATGTTAACAGTTAAGTGCATAGAACAATGCTTGCTGCATAGTAATTAAGTAAGGGTAAATTGAGGCCAAAAGATGGCAAGGCACTCCCTCGTCTGTGGTCACTTAGCTAGTCACTGGGGCAGCCAGGGCTGAAACTCATGATTCTTAGTCTCGTGGACAGTTTCCTCCTCCCCTTTCCCCCCTCAGTCAGACTGTTTCAACCCTGCCTCTTGCAAAGGAAATCGCGTGACCCTTCAGCCCACAAGAATTCCGACTGCACAGAATGTCTGAAACCTCTGTGCGCTGGCTAGGGGCCTTGTTGCAGTTCTGTTCAGCTGTTCACCCCCCTCTGACTTTTAAAGTTCCCCAGGGTCTCTCCTTTCCCGATCATGCAAATAAAAATACTAACCTTTTGACAAAGGAGTTTGAAGACTTATGTCCCTGCTGTGTGCCCCTGAACTAACCACTACTACCCCCTCCCCCGCCCCCGCTCCTTCCCCCCCAGCTTGTTTCCCTATCTGGGAAATGAGGAAGTGTCCCTGGTTGACAGTGAGGTGATTCCACCTGCCCATCTGTGATACTGTGGGGACAAGCCAGCCAAGAGGTGGCACAGTGAACTCAGGTCACTGTTGATGATTGAAGGGGTGAGTGCTGACTAAACAAACAAGTGACACATCCTTCTAAGGAGTGAAGTGAAATCCACCAGAAATGCTGCCCCCTTCCACCCACCTCCTGGTGTCAAAAGTTACTTGAGTCATCAGAGTTGCCTGTACTTTTCTAGCTCTCTTTTTCATGGTAATGTTCCTCAGCCAGTGGCTGAGGCTTGGTAGTATCCTATCTGCAGGCCCCAGGGCATCAGACCTGAGGGTCTTGGTAGTTCCTGACTTCCACTGATCCCCTAGCAGTGAGCTTTGGAGGCCACCACCCTAGAGTGTGAATCTAGTCTATTAACACTGGGGAGGTACTGCCCCTATCTGACCCTCAGTTACCTCATCTGTGAAATGGGTACATGAGCCCTACCTGGCAAGGTGAGATGACAAGCCTAGCATAAGTATGTGAGAGCCCCACCCTGCCTGCCTCCCTTCTTCCTTCTTGCCTGGGAGGCTCTGGCTCACCCTGGATCCAGCTGGTATGCCCAAATCCTCCCTGGCCATAGGGGATAGAGGGAAACTTATCTAAGCCAGGAAGCCTAGAGACCCATTCTTGGACATCAGGGTCCAGAGGATCTAGAGTGCATCCCTGTCAGCATTTTGGTGGGCATTCCGGGCACAGAGAGCATGGACAGACTTGGAGCAGGGAGACTACCTAGCTGAGACTGGAATGCAGGAATCCTAGATTAGAGTCCTACCCAACCCCCTGGGTCTTCCTGTCCTCTGTATGAGCTCACTTTCAGGTCAGCCTGTCACCATCAGGGGCTGGCCTGGTTAGGCCTCAGAAATCAGAGATGTGAGCCATGGTGAGCTTGTAGCAGGAGGGGGCAGATCTGGGGCTAAGCCTTGAATTGCTGTCCCCTGGCACAGGCCTTAGCAAGGTATAATCACAACTGAGCACCTGTTCCCTCATCCCCAAAATAGGCATCATGCCCACTCTGCCCACCTTTCAAAATTGTCATAAGGCTCCCTAAGATGGTATAGGCAAATATACCTCTGCAGGCCATCAAGAACTGCCCTGAAGAATTTGTCCTGTCACCCAGGACAGGTACAGAGTAGGTTCTTGGTGAATGTTGAATAAATGAATGATAATAGTTATTGGTCATAAACTATTAATATTAGTGATAATATTAATAGTGGTAATAATCTACTACATCCCAAACATCAACCAAGGAAATTTCCATAGGATGCTGTTATCCTTACAACAGCCCCAGGAAATTAGGGATGGACCATTTTATAGGTAAGGAAGCTGAGGCTCAGAAAGTGAAATAACTTTGTTTCCATATGATTGGGGGTGTGTGTGTGAAATAATTTACCTCAGGTTACACAGCAAGTGGTTGAGGAAGTCAGGATTTACAACTGTGACTCTTAGTCCCCTGGGCTGCCCCTTCCTAGGCTGGTGAACACACAGGTCTAGGAGAGGGGGATTTGTATATAAACCTCTGATTTGTAGCATTTGCCAGTGTCCACAATGTAAATATTCCTTCTGTGACTGATTTCAAGCAACCAATGTGATACTATGTCACTAAATCCCCCAAAATTCAACAAGCAACCCCCACAAGCCAGTAGTTAGCAGGTCAGGGCTGCTCTGTGCCCCTCCCCTCTGGTTAACCGCTTGCATGCCAGGGAAGGCCAGAGTTAGGAGTGTGCCTGGACCGGAACTAAGCTGGTGGCTTGGGTGGGGATACCTGTGCCTCCAGCGTCCCCTAGCCCTCCCCACCAGAGGCCCTAGAGCTCTGTGGGGTCTCAGTGTCACACAGAGACTTGGTGGAATGGATGAGACTCAGCTTGGATCTGCAAGTCTGCGACTGGAATATTAAGGCCTGTCAGCCCCACCGCGTGCGATATTCCTGCCAGGCCCGGAGCAGAGCCCTGTAAACACCAGGATATAATGGACAATAAAAGTCGCTGGAAAATAGTGACTCTCCTAGGACCACTGTCATCCCTGCCACAAGCTGGCTGCT